AAAATTTTATCATTCCATAGACTGATTGTGCTTGCCTGGAATAAGGAACAAAATGTTTGAGGCCTCTCAAGGGTATTTTGATGAATCTAACTCTAATTTAAAGGGACTAATAGATTATTGATTTAAGCAGGATGACAGTGAACAGATCAATGGCTGAGCACTCTGTATCTACCTTAAATACCAAAAATGACTGGTAAAAGGAAAGCCATGGGCTGTCCCCCTGCTGGTTTCTCACTGACTTTCTTTGGGGGGGGTGGTAGTGGAGGAAGGCAGAAAAAGAAAAGGAGCTCTAAGAAACTTTGCCAAAGTATGTTTTTGCTACCTTACCAAAAAGGCAAAAGATTGCATTAAAGTACAAATCTTTTATATCGATGCCATATCCTGGTTGTAATTCTAGAACTTGTCTTGACGTGTTCGCCTGAGGCAAGCTTTGGTGATCTGATGGACTATACCACTGAAAATGTTTTTTTTCCTTGCGTTATTCTCAGTGTTATAGGCCACAGAGAGGAAATAAAAGACCACTGACCATCAATTTTGAGGGTGATATTTGAATATACATAGTCAAATACTTAATTTTTTACTACCGGTGGGAAAATTTTTCCAAAGATGATTTTGTTTGGGATCATACATAACACTTTTCCCTTTCCATTTTTGTGGCATTTGTAACATTCAAATTATGTTCATTTATGGCATTTGTGGGATTCAAATTATAAAAATAGTAGAAAGAACCAATTTATCCTTTAAAAATATAGCCTGGTCCCTTCCTCTTGGAAGGCTCCCTTGATTTCTCCTGGGATAAATAAGGCCTGTAGTTCTCTCTGGCATTATGTTAGTGGTTCCCAAACTACTTCAGTTTGGATTCGCCTGGGAATATCTTTTATTATTTTTATTTTTTGTTTTGTTTTGCTGTTTTAAATCTTACAGTCAGCTAAAAGAGAATATTTTTAAAAAAGGGCAATTCCTAGCTCCATTCTCAGACATTCTGGCATGATAGATCTGGGATACAACTTGGTCATTAGGACGTTTAAAAGCTCCCCAGCTAGTTCTAGTGTGCAGCCAAGTTTGGAACCCACTGTATTGTAATTGTTGTTTTATTCTCTATTAGGCCAAACTTGTCGAGGATAAGGGATTATATACTATCACTGTCCATAGCGTATAACGCAATGCCTGGTATGTTATGTCACTCAGCCAAACAAATGATTGAACACATGAACAGTCTGAGAATCTATTGTACTCATATGAGAAAGTTCCTAGAATTACTGGTGAAATCACCACAACCTAAATAAAAGTCCAGGGCTCTCACTATTGATTACTTACAACAGAACATTTTCATTCATGGCAACTGTTCAGGAAAAGCCTTCTGGATTCATTCATTTGTTATAAATGACCCTTATCCATAGGAAAAGATCCAATCTTCGCAAAATGTTTTGGGACCTTTAACGTCTAGTAGACTTCACGTTTTTTTGTGTGCTTTGCCCCAAGTGTTTTGGGTATTAAATTATGCACAATTTTGTTTCCTTTCTTTGGGAAGATGAAATGCTGGACTCCCTTCAGTGCATGTGTTTGAAGTGGCATATTTATGAAAATTACTACCCACTTTTGAAATTCAGGGCATAGCTCTGACAGCTGATTCCAGCCCCACCAGAATTCTATTTACAACTTTCCTAGACAAGCCAGATTAGCTGTTCTACACGAGTGAGTAGGACCTTAAAACACACCCCTCCCCACCTTCCTTCTGTGAAGAACTCAATGGGAGACTGATCGTAGTGGTGATGACATGACCCTGTCAGTTGTTGAAGCACATGGATGGAAGTAGAAGCACACAAATCAAACCACTCCAAAAGGTCTGAGAGGCATCTGGGGAGGGGATCACTTATGTTAATATCAGGGGTGTAAATCCACACAGCCTTTCTAGAAGTCAGTTTATCAACATGCATTAAAAACAAAATATTTATAAAATAACTTTTGATCTGATAAGTACACTTCAGTGGTGTATTTGAAGGAAATAAAGATGTGCTGAGATTAGCTACAAAGATGTTCATCACAATGGAATGTTTTCTGTGAAAAATATTTATCGACAAGGAAATAAATCGATGACATCATAGGTTAAACAAAGTCCTCAGCAATCTCAGTATAATTCCACATTAGTAGACAAACTCAAAACATTTATGTGCATAGAAAAAAATTCTGGAAGGTCGTACACAGTGAAAAGATTGTGGGTGATTCCGTGTGTATTTTTTCTTAGATTTTTAACAAAGAATGATACATTGTTTTGTAATTTTAGCAAATAGTGTTTTCTTGTTGATTTGCTTTCAGTGAAGCTGATTAGTTCCGTGTGAAGAAGGCTTTTGCATCTACTGCTTAATAGCTGATAAGCTTTAGTGACATCTCGGATGCCAACCCTTCTATAAAACAGTTGCTACCACTGTGCCAACTTATTCAAAGTAAGGGCTTCCTATCTGCCAGAAATAACATACTCAAGATTGCTATCTTCATCCTAGATACCTCGGTTCTAACCAGTAAAGACTATAATAGATTTATCTACTAGGACCTGCACTACTCAAATGAATTCATTCCAAGATTCTTCTGAATTATGAAAATACTATAATTATAGTTGATTCTGTTCCAAAGGGCTAATTAATTACTTTTTTAAGGAAGCAAAGGAGTATAAGAGCTATTTGGTTTAATTTTCTCATTTAACAACTTAGAGGGGGCACTTAGTGCTCAAAATGAGGAAGAAAAAGGAAAAGGAAAAAGTTCATGCGCTAATTCGATAAATACTGGTTGATTATCTGCCATGTGCCAGGACCTCGTCTAGTCCTGGAACACAGGTGTATATAATGCAGATGAGTTTCTTTGACTTCTGAAACTCAACATTCAGAGTATGGGGGGTGGCAGATGTAGAATATAAAATTATATACAGACATCTAAAATTTGAACACTGATTAGGGTTTTATGGAAATAAAGTAGTGAGACAGAGTGACCAGGAATGGAGAGGAGAGGGGCATTTTAATGACAGAAGTCATCTCTGGGAAGGAAACATTTGCTTTGAGATCTAAGAAATGAAAAACAACCAGATATTTGAAGGTCTAAGAATTTCCAGAAAGGACAAATAGTTATTGCAATAGCCTCAGTTGGTATGAGAGCTTGGCCTATTCAGAAGACAGAATAGATGCCAATTATATAGAACTCAATAAATTAGGGAACTCACTGAAGGCAATGATGCTGCTAAAAGGCCATGTGATTAAAAGCCTTGTAGAACATACTAAGGAGTCTGACTTTGATCTAATTGGTGACTATTGGAGGGCTTTAGATAGGCAAGTGAAAGAGATGGATTTTAACCTTTGAACAACTATCTTGACTGCTTGTTTGAAGACTAGACCCTAGGTAGGAGGAAGGGGCATGAAGCGATCAATGAAGAAGCTATTGCAGCAGTTGTGAGAGGTGATGGTGGACTACTAGCATGGTGTGGTAGCAGCATAGTGATATGGGGATGGATTAACAGTAAGCGTAGTGGGTAGAGTCGACCTGACTTGCTGAAAGCTTGCCCACAGGATAATCCAGTCAGGAGAATATCTACTCTGGGAGATTATAAGCAGTAGGGTAACTGGAAACTTTATATTCTGGGAACTATACTGTGTATTGAAAAGCAATTTGGAGACTAGAGGATTCTGGAACGTCATTTAACCACTTTAATTCCCCTTCCTGATTTCCGTCTTATTTTATGAGCATGTTTACCTGTGATAGAAGTAGAGCCAGTTCTTGCTTTGATTCTGAGTACAACCCTGGAGAATTAGGGGTAGGAGAACACCCCGTTCTTATATTTTGTGAACTCCCATTTCCCATGGAATTTGGGTGATTAGATAACAGTATAGAGGATTATGTTTTTTTAAATCTAGATTAAAGAGTAACATGACTTAAAAGTGAATCGCACCACTCTGTGTCATCCTTAGGTTTAACCTACTGCTTCTCAAACATTAATTGTACATTTAGTCATCTGAGGATTTCATCAAAATGCAGATTTCAGATTCCATAGGCCTGAGCTGGGACCTGATACTATTTTTCTAATAAGATCTTAAGTGATGCTGATGCATGTTGGCCCAAGGAGCCTTCTTTGAGTAGCAAGGGTCTTACCCATATTGTTATTAATGAAGATCAGTTATGGTGGCATCATGCTAAATACACTTGTTGAATGAATAATTTGGGCATTTTCTTCATTTGTCCAAAGGAAAATTTAAAAATTTTAATTAATTAATTTATTTTTTGAGACAGAGTCTTGCTCTGTTGCCCAGGCTGGAGTTCAATGGCAGGATTTCAGCTCACTGCAAACTCTGCCTCCTGGGTTCAAGTGATTCTCCTGCCTCAGCCTCCTGAGTAGCTGGGATTACAGGTGCACACCACCACACCTGGCTAATTTTTGTATTTTTAGTAGAGATGGGGTTTCACCATGCTGGCCAGGCTGGTCTCAAACTCCTGACCTCAGGTGATCCACCTGCCTCAGCCTCCCAAAGTGCTAGGATTACAGGTGTGAGCGACCGCGCCCGGCCCAAAGGAAATTTACTTTTGGTTAAGTGAGCAACAAGGTCAAGTCATTTGAGACTCTACACGAATCAGAAGCTACTGGGGTTTGTAGTATGATTATCTGAATTTGTGTCTTGGCTCTACCACTGCTCTGTTGATCTTAGACAAGTTGCTTCCTTCCTCTGAGTTTCTGTTTCTGTTGTGGGTAAAATTGTGATAAAAACCATGGCCCTCACAGTGCTGTGTGAGCTGTGGACTACAAGCGAGAGATGTATGAGACTGCTTTGTAAACCGTAGAGCACCACATCAATGTCAGTGTCACCACTGCTGGGCCTACAATGACAGCTGTTTTTATGAGCTCATCCCTGCTAGTGTTACTGCTGAATTTGGGGCAGAAGCATATGAATTCCCTGTTGAAAAAAGTAATGAACTAAAATACATCTTCTCTTTTTTCTCCCTCTACCCCATCTCTATTATAGCAATTGAAACACAGAGCACCAGCTCTGAGGAACTCGTCCCAAGCCCCCCATCTCCACTTCCTCCCCCTCGAGTGTACAAACCCTGCTTCGTCTGCCAGGACAAATCATCAGGGTACCACTATGGGGTCAGCGCCTGTGAGGGATGTAAGGTGAGTTTTCATACCTCTGTACCTGATGAACTCTCATTCTCTTTGTACTTTCTGGAGGTGACCTACCCAGTTCCAGAAATGGACTGGATGTGTAACATCACCTCCCATCAGTGTGGTGAATTCAGTTATATTCGGTGGTTTTTATTACTTCCTTATAGATCTTTGGTTTAAAATTCAGAAACTTCTGCAAATGACTGATTAGGGTCAAAGGTTTTAAGGCCCTTAAAATACCCCCACATAACAATTCTTTTTAGATGATAAGAACTGGCTAGGCCAGGTGTGATGGCTCATGCCTGTAATCCCAGCACTTTGGGAGGCCAAGGTGAGCGATCACTTGAGGTTAGGAGTTTGAGGCCAGCCTGGCCAACATGACAAAGCCTCATCTCTACTAAAAATACAAAAATTAGCCAGGCGTGGGTGACTGGTGCTTCTAGTCCCAGCTATTTAGGAGGCTGAGACATGAGAATCACTTGAAACCGGGAAGCAGAGGTTGCAGCCAGCCAAGATCACACCACTGCATTGCAACCTGGACAACAGAACGAGACTTTGTCTCAAAATACAAACAAACAAAAACAAAGAACTGGTTGGAAGAATCTTGAGAAGTATCATTCTGTTTCTCTTGAGAACGTGCCGTCTGGTGTCTGTAGTTTTATTTTATTTTTGAATATGACTGACAGTCCACTGAATCAACTTGCAGGGAATCCAAGGTTGAAACTGAGATTTATCTCCTGGCTGTTTTCCTCAGCTCTGTGGCCTTTGAATTACAGTTTGATTTTCAGCCTGTAGGGACTTGCTACTGTATGTGTGTCATAAATTAAGGGGAGCTGGATTTAAAATTCCTGCCTACAGAATACTGGAGGCTGAACATGTGTCAGGGAGTAGTATATGGCTGCCTTGAATCAAGCAAGACAATTGTTATCAAGTCCAACAGTCTTAATTGAGTGAAAGAGCTTCTTATTTTCAGGAAAGAAAAGAAACAATGACTTCAAAGGCAAATATAACTAACTCATCCATAAAAAATTTCTCAAAGGAACTATGGCTGTCTTGAACTAGCCCTTCCCTAGATATATAACTTCTTTAAGTCCTCTCTGGATGGTTGTTTAGATCTGTTGTTTATACATCTAAATTGCATGATTCATTTGTAATTGTAAACATGTTGGAATAATGTTACAGGTACTCCATGGCATTTTGTATTTGGCTTATCAGAGTTAGCACTAAACTGTATATATTGGTTAGGCACTGTTGTATAACAAACCATCCTAAAACTAAATGGCTTAAGACAACAATTCTTTATTTAGCCTGCAATTCTGTGGGTCAGCAGTTTCAGCCAGACTCATCTGCATGGTTCATCTGGACTTGGCTAGGCTCCACCACGTATCTCTGGGCAGTTGTAGGTTAGCTAGTTGGCTCTGCTTCTGGGGGTGCTGACTGTGGGCTGGAGAGACTCAGCTCTCCTCCATGTGATCCCTCATTTCCATCAGGCTGGCCCTGGCTTGTTCACAGAGGCAGGGTTCCAGAAGACAGAACAAAAGCACATAAGGTCTCCAGTGGCTTAGGCTAAGAAGCATCGCTTCTGCCACACTATTGAGCAAAGCAAGTCGTAAGGTCAGCCTAGACTCAGTAGGTAGGAACATAAACTCAACTTTTGTTCTTCTTTTAAATAAAATAAAACTAATCTGTCAACTTGAGAAAACTTTTTTGTAGAGATGGGGGTCTCACGTATGTTGCCCAGGCTGGTCTTGAATTCCTGGGCTCAAGTGATTCTCCCACCTTGGCCTCCCAAAGTGCTGGGAATACAGGTGTGAGCCCCTGCATCCAGCCCTACTCAATTTCTTAATGGGCAGAGCTTCAAAGTAATAAGTGATCTAGATATGGAGGGACCGGGGGAATGGGTATCATTTTTGTAATTAGACTACTGTACTGCATGTCTGATTGCCTATGAACACAAGGTGGATGGGGACCCTGCTCCACTGCCCAGAATGTCACACACAGTCTGGCATATAGTGGGTGCTTAAAGACTGAACAAATGCATAAATGTCACTCAACCCCTCAAAGTAATTTTGTGAGTTTTTCCTGTCTTTTCAAATCATTGAAATAAACATATTTATTATGGTTTATTACTATAATAAGGTAAGGCCAGTTTTGGGAAATTCATTAAAGGCTTAGGAAGATCTCTCTGCCTCTGGGATTGTGCTATTTTATGGCAATTCTCTTTTCTCCAGTAGATTCTGACATGATAGTCAGGAAAGTTACATGGGCAACCAGTTGGCAACTGACTAAAAAGCAAGACATTTGTTCATTCAATTATTGCTTTATTATTAGTAACCCCTAGCGGAACCTACTTAAATTTATCCTGAGATTTGGAAAGGTTTCAGTGGAATAGCTAGTTCATTTTGTCCACTTGTTGTGCAATATATAAATAAATCATTTTCTAATGTTTATTTGAAAAGTAAATGAAAAGATACTTCTTTATTTCTGAAAAATGTGAAGTCATCTCATGTCCAGAAATCTGAATGAGGTCTGCTGTAATTCAGCTTACCTGCTCTCATCATTATCCAACGTGTCTCTGTGGCACATACTAGGAGCTGCATATGAAGCTGTTTCACGATCTGTATAGAACAAACTGCTTTAATCAGCTTATAGTCAGTGAGTTGTCTGACCTTAGTTTGGGATTCTGACTCTTTTTAGGAAAAAAACCAATAAAAACAAAACCCATACCAGCACAAACAACTTTGACAAACTCAGTTAAGTGATACAGAGTCGTATTATTGTGTTATCTTTTTAACAGAGCTCTAAACCCAATAAGGTCAGGTGAGTTCGGCAACCAGTTGAATTTGATACTTTTTATATTGTGGGTGGATTGCCCTTCTCCCTGGTCATTGAGAAAGACTTGGTCTACATTTAAGCTTGCTGGGAAAATAGAGTGACAGAATTCACAGAACTGAGAAGCAGGAGGAGGTACCAGTAAAATGTAACAGCCAAAGAAAAAGAAATATAACTTTTTAAAAATTAAATAAAATTTTATTGTCATTTAAAAAAATTATCAATACAGTATAGAATTTATGGTATGAAAATAGAAAATTAAAACAACCATGATCCTATCCTGGGAGAGAACCCCTGTAAAACTCAGCTTTTCTGTAAGTATATGCATATTGTTATTGTTTCAGAAAAATGAAATTTTGTGTTGTATACTGGTTTTAACTTAATCTTTGATAATATTTTATGACCCAAATTTAAGCAACTGCATACCTTGCTTTTATGGTTATACAATTAATATAGTAGTTTATGGTTAGGTCATAATTTATTTAACTAATTAATTAAGGTGCTTACAGTGTTTTTCAATTATAAATAACACTTTAATGTATGGCCTTTAGGTATATCTCTGAAAATTTCCTTAGGATAAAAATTTCCTTAGGATAAATAAGTATAAGTGGAATTTTTAGATCAGTAGCTTTATATATTTTTAAGGCTTTTGAATCAGATTGCCAAAATACCCTCTAGAAAAGGTTATTATCTAGTAATCTGTAAAAAGTTAATCCTTTTGGAAACTATCTCTTAGGAATCTCTCCCTTGTGGTATAACAAGGTAATGAATCCAGAAGCAACTTTTCTTCTTGAATTATGCCTGTATTTCATTTGATATTTACTATGGGCCCAGTGTGTGATATCATTTTAGGATACCAGCAGATGCACCACAGGCCCCTGGTTGACCTGTAGAAACTGGCCCAACCTTTGGCTGGAAATCAAAGTTTACTACTGTAAGCTGAGAACCTCTGCTCTAAAGTAGGACTCCTAGAGCCTGGTATATCTTCAAGAAGTAATGCATACAGTGGCTTCTGCCTGTCATACCCAGGATGACCTAATTGACTATTATTTGGGGAAGAGAACTTTCCGTCCTCTTCGGGACTGGGTGACAGTCTCAGCCTCGGCTGCAGCCATATGATGGTGGTCAGAATTTAACAAATGGGTGTGGTCCATCTCTGGGAATGGTCAGTGGCTGCTATATTGACACAGCATTACCATGGCAGCATAACCACTAGACACATGGTAGGGATGCCCTGTTTAGGGGGTTTCCAGCTGAGCAATGGCAGTTTTTGTGTAGGGGACAAAGAGCACACAAAATGAATGTGCAGTATGGTTAGCCAAGAATGTTTAACAGTATAAAAAAAAAAGCAATATTAAAAAGAAAATAGTAGGACAAAATAAAATAATGTCTTTGGAAAACAGTCTTACCCCTTGCTCATAGCTAAAATTTAATGCAGAATTTTGGCCTTAATCATATTTTCCATTTCCATTTTTATAGCTTTTGAAGAATGTGAAGTCTAGAGTGAGAATGCTGGGATTTGAATTCTAGCCAGGTTACTTACTAGCTTGGTGCAACTCTCTCTTTTTCTCATCTGGAAAAATGGGGGCGATATTACCTACCTCACGGTATTGTTGTGAGGATAAAATGTTTTTACCATGTATAAAGCATATAGGATAGTACCTAGCACATACTAAGTGATAGGTACTAAGTGGCACATACATGTTTAGTTATTGTTTAGATTTTTTTTTTTTTTTTTTTTGAGATGGAGTTTCACTCTTGTTGCCCAGGCTAGAGTGCAGTGGCGTGATCTAGGCTCACTGCAACCTCCGCCTCCCGGGTTCAAGCAATTCTCCTGCCTCAGCCTCCTGAGGAGCTGGTATTACAGGCTTTACAAGCATGTGCGACCCCACCCGGCTAATTTTGTATTTTTAGTAGAGATGGGATTTCTCCATGTTGGTCAGGCTGGTCTCGAACTCCCAGCCTCAGGTGATCCACCCACCTGGGCCTCCCAAAATGCTGGGATTACAGGTGTGAGCCACTGCTCCCAGTCTATTGTTTGTTTTATCCTTAAGTTATAATGACTTTTGCACACGGTGATGTAACATCAGTTATAATCTTAGTACTCCTCTTGTAGTGTTCTTTCTGCAGTTTTCCATTCTTTTCTACCGAAATAACACTGCCTCTTTCCTTCAAGG